TGCAATGCAATCACTTGACAAGTTTAGAAAATTCACTTTTTTCCCATGGAACGTTGGACTAGATTCTATGCCCGTTTTTAACGTGTACCCTTATTTTAAATATTATTATGTGTTTCTAGCAAGGGGATATACCTGTTCTTTCAGGCGAGGAGTTGAGGGGAGCGAAAAAATGCTCTTGCAAAAGTCATGGGACATAACCCCCCCCCCCTGAAAAAAGAAAAAAAAAAGAAATATAATAAATGGATAAATGAATAAATAAATAAATACGTAAATAAAATGTTGTGACTATTCCCGTTGTTCCAGTGAAATCCTCATACTCAACAGCACTGCACGGTGTGAAACCACAACATCACCCACTTAATCTTGGTGTCTTTGCTTTATCATGAAGATTGCACGTCTCCTCCCTCCTTTCCGGACATATTCAATTTATTAAGATCTCGCACAGATCATGGCTTTTAATGAAATGTTCTGGTTTTACAAGCTTTTGCTTGGTCTATTTGTGAGGCATCGTCTTGAAATCAGGCGCTCGTAAAAAAAAAAAGAGATATGAGAAACAAGTATTGTTCTGGCCGCTATGCAATTTTTTTAAAAGAGTTTTCTTTTTTTTAGCTCAGCACCTTAATGACTATTTAAGAACTCATTCCTGTATGGAGTTTACCGAAAAACGCTAATCAAAGGCTCAAAATGTGTAAATTTGTAGTTTCCAAGGACACTCAAGCTTTGGAAGTCACCAAACTTTGGCGGCCATTTTCTCACTAATTTTACCTCTGACATCAGGTGACACCCATCTCCTTCAATCGCGAATATCTGGAGATGAGTATTATTTTTAACCTTTTTACCTGAAGCAAGATAAATGTACACCCTTTGAGATAATACCAATAACTCTATAATATATATATGACACATTTCGATTTCAAAATTATGTAGGCGTGACTGGAAGATTCTACTTTTTTATTATCTCTCTGATCTTTCTGTCTGTCAGTCTGTGTTTTTTCCCCTTGACACTAAATTACGTTGTTGTGTTGATTTGCCCCATTTTACTCACTCGCAAATATGGGGCCTAACACCGAGGGGAACAGACGCAGAGGTGGAAGATATACTTTTGACGTTACAATATTATTACCCGATCTAGGACGCGCATTCTGGTTTGACAACTCTTGAAGGAATACTGCTTTTGGGGTACTTAAAAGAAAGTTGCATAACTTTCTTATTCAGACAGATTTTTAAATTCCATTTTCTTTATCCGAAACTTTAAAAAACAGTCAACAACAAGAATACCGGTACTACCTGTATGGAATATGCCAAGCGGTGTTTCTGACTTATGTAAGATGGTTTTAAAAAAGCCGCCTAGACTGCCTTTGTTCTGCCGCTGACGGTCATGTGTCCGCCACGTTCTTAAAGAGATAATCAGATTAATTTGTTTCTCTATCGATGACATTACGTTGATAGGACCTCACTAGGGCTATCGTAACAGTTGGACGTTAAACCTTATTCATATCGAAGAGTTGGTAAAGATCTACTCCCTTTCTCGAAATACATGTACGGTGAGTTAAAATTAGTCTTTTCCTCGTGGTGTCACGACTACACCCTTGATGTGCATAGATCTAGTAGGTCAAGTAAGTTCTGAAGTAGACCTTTACTAACAATTTGTAGCAATAATTTCATTTAGCATGAAAAAAAAAGAAAAGGCACCTAGAAAAACGTTCAGTATTTTAAAAACAACACAATTCCGATGACAGACAGGTGAACTTCGTGTGTTGCAATATCTTGAATAAGAACTGCCATTTGCCGGCGCCCCATCCCTCTTAACCCCACCTCACACCTCCTCACCACATCGAAGCGTGTGAATTAGAAATGACGTGTGGCTCTTACCCATCCTTCCCTCTTTCCAGACCTCACCAAGATAATCCTTCTTGTGTGTTTTACAATACTGACGATTTTTCAGTGATATGTGCTAATACCCCCCCCCCCTTTTTGCAAAATGTAAAAAACAACGCACGTCAGTGTGTTGCAAAATTATTTTCAATAGCACAGGTAATGTCATATTCGTTTAGTTCTCTTTTCGCACAGACTTGTATTTTCCTTTTCTTCTTGCTTCCTACTGCTAGCATTTTCCTCTGCTACTGCTTCTCTCTCTTTTGGCCAGTTTTAACATAAGCGGTTTTGTTGTTGTTGTTGTTTCTGTTTGTTTTTAAATAACCCTGTCAGTCCCTGTCAACGAAACGACCATCCCTCTTTAAAATATTTTTTTCCTAGTGATATCTTATTATTTGAGGAAGAAGCTTTATTTTTAAAAATAGTTTTATTATTATTTTTCAAAATTTAGTTCAGTTACCCCCCCCCCCCCCCCCACACACACACACACACTTCCTTTGCGCGTCTTTTGGGCCCCCTTCTCTTTTCTTTTCTTTTTTAAAAAGAAAGCTGATGGTTTTTTTTACGTCCTCCATCGAATCGACACAAATCAGATCATAAGGGGGTGAGTTTTGACCCTGGCTCTGATGAGGGCCAAACCGAGCTCAGAGAGATACACCATCTCAGTAGAAAGACTCGGATGTTCGATAAAAATTCTACCTACAGAGTATTCTGTATACAACGACGAAGCACATAACTACTACACCTCGGATGCCGACCCCCTTTTCTTTCACTCGCTGCCCGTTAGAGGCCTGATGGAAAGCGCCAAGCTTGTCATTTTCTCACTGCGAACTATCAATGCCGCCGTATATATATATATATATATATATATATATATATATATATATATATATATATATATATATATATATATATATATATATATATATATATATATATATATATATATATATATGTGTGTGTGTGTTTTCATAAAGTTCATTACCGAGATGGTGTTTGTGGAAATATTTCCATATCACTATAGTAACTGATCTCTTTGGTAACCGATAAATAATTTTACGTGCCACTTTTATCCATGCTCCATTTATTCAGGCATATCATAATTGTATCGGAATCTCCTAGTTTTACCTTTCAAATGATTGTTGTTCCAAACGCTACGAAAGCAACATAAAAAACATCATCATCATCATCGACAGTAGCAGCAGCAATGACAACAACAACAACAACAACAATAACAACAACAACAACAACAACAACAACAACAACAACAGCAGCAGTAGTAGCTCAGTATTATCAATAACAACGACAACAATGACGACGACAGCAACAGTAGAGTAGCAACAACAATAGCAACAACACAACAGCTGCAGCAGCAACAGGAATAACAACAACAAAAACAACAATAGTAGCAATATATAATAGCAACAACAACAATAATCATAACGATAACATCAACAACACTGTCAACAACAACAATAACAGCAATAACAACAACAAGAGTGACAACGACAGGACAATGGAATTTCGTGGCATGTTTAAAAAGAAATTAATTATACTTTTGCTGTTTTGTGGTGTTTATATATTATGTAGGTGGTCATTTGGACGTGTCCTTTAGAAAGGCACGACTACCATAGATAAAAACAAAACAACAGAACTCTGTGCAGTGGCGACCAGCAATTGCATGTTGCTAGTTATATTAGTTTGATATTGTGTATTTCATTTGTGTAACCTTGCTGAATTGTTTAAGTATCATTTATTTACATGTGTTTATATATCCCTGAATGTACCCCTCTATGCTGCTGTACACAAAATTCCCCCTCCGAGGTGAACAAAAAGCGAATTTTATTTTACTACCTATTAATCTTTTATTGTTATATGCTTTGTCTTGTTGTTTTCCTCTTTTTTTCTGTTCTCATTTTCTTTTTCTGTCTTTTTAAGGGGGGGGGGGGGGTGGCGGGTTGGTTTATTTTCTTTAATCCATCTAATTTTTACCGAGATCGCTATTAAATTTAAAAAGAAATTGTCACAAACTTTTATTGTTTATGTGCCATAATAGAATCGTAATTGTACTTGTTGCTTCTTTTCATTCATTTATTTATTTTATCGTTAAAATAAAAGCAAGAAAATTTTTTAAACAAACAAACAAAACGCCCTCAAAACCTTCGTCGTCAATGAAAAAGACAGATCTAGCCTTTTGATTTTAAGACTTCGTTCATCGTGATTTCTTCACCAGTAGTAATCGATACAGTAAGCTATTGCGGGCCTTACAATAATTCAGCGTCTTTTGCTTGCCATTTTTTCTTGCATTAGGTTTTTCGATATCGTTTTCAATTTCAGCTTTCTTTTGAACGCTGCGTATTTTGTATCACCTACACAATTATAATTTACACGCCTTTTTCTTCGCCTCCGTAGATTAGACCGTTGATTACTATGAACAACAACAAAAATTATTCTGTTTTGTTATTGCTTTTAGTTGTAGAGGATTAATTTGTTCTGTGTTTTGTTTTTTGTTTCTTGATTTTGTTTTATTTTTTGAGTTTGTCGGCCCACCTTTCTGTTCTTGTTGGTCGTGACTGTCTGATTCTGATGTCATATTCTCATTTCTCATACAATTTTGCTGTTCCCCGTCTTTGTCCAGAAGCCAGGAACTTGAATCAATGTATATACGATAGCACCTCAGAAAATATTCCTGCCCTGACTCACCTTCATTTTGTTCCCCAACTCTTCCTTTTACTTGTATCTTTTTGTTTTGGACATATTCTAATTTTGCTATTCAATAATTGTGCCTGATGCAAAGAGATACATCTTTGGTCCGAACCAACGATGAACCCACGGGCATCGACTATCAACACCATTACCTTGACTTACCTGGGTTTTTTTCAACTCTTCCTTTCACGTATTTCTTTTCAGTGTTTGACATAATTCTTATTTTGCTGTTCAACAGGTGGGCGGTTAGCAGATGCTCTGGTGCTGTTTACTCCTTCTTTCCTAACTATCGTCTTTATCTCCCCTCATTCTTTTTGTGTTTGTTACTCTCTTGTAACACCTCTAATCTTCGGCACTTACTTATATAACATTATTGTGTTGCAAGTGCCGTAAAACTCTTACTAAAACTATTTCAACAGTCGTGCCCGATCCAGTGATAGACTTGCAGGCATCGACGGTCAACAGCACATGCATTAACATAAGCTGGGACCACAGCAAGTTTAAGGAGAGGGAGATGGAGCTGATGTTCCAAGTGGAGTATATGTCTCAGTGGGAGACCGGCTGGTCACAGGTACGTAATACACGACACAACCCAATGTGACATTTTTTGGTCCATGACGCCATATTCTTTTAGCCGTATAATGTTATTATTATTATTATTATTATTATTATTATTATTATTATTATTATTATTATTATTTATTGTACATATATATATATATATAATATATATATATATATATATATAATATTTTGGGTAAGTGTTTTACTACGTGTTTTACGTCGCTCGCAACTTCATAAGGTCATATGAGCTCGCGGGACACACCAAACATTTTCAGTTTGGTAGGAAATTTTGAATTTTTGCCCGGGTGGCGGCCGAAGCCTACTTTTATTGATTTTTGACTACAAAAGGATCTTTAACGTGCGCAACTTGCTCACGGGACCTCCGAGATTTTTCGCCATTGTCCGAGAAGGCTAGGTGTAGATCTTTCCTACCAGAAGATCAGGGGTGTGGCTGAAAGACAGCTGTAAGTAGGAGCCAGGGAGTAGCAGTAGAAAGGCTGCAGAAAGAGTCAGGAGCCCAGAGGAGGTCGCAAAGGAGGTGGGAGCAGAAAGTTGAGACGAAAGCAGACGACAGAACATTGCTAAAGAGCAGGAAAGGAGGTGAAAGGAGACAATTTTAGAGAAGAAAATTATTCCGTCACAACTGGGATTCTACCCCGTGACATTTGAATGAGAGGTGAACCCCTTAACCTCTAGGCCACGAGAGCCCCCATATTTATATATACATGTATATTATAAACATCCAAAAGAAGCTTGAAAATGGAATCACCCAATCATCGTGTTAAACCTGGCACTACCAACTCTTGCAGCATACCAAATTAAAGCTAAATAAATTTTGCATCATGTGACACATTAATGTTTCATCTATGTAAAGAGAAGCCCGAGATATAGTCACTCAAAACTGACCTTAAAAAATCAGACTTGTCGATGTAGTGCGAAATCAAAGAAACTTAAGCTCGTTTCCGCGAGTGTATTGGGAGCATAAATCTTGATAGAATTGACATACATTGAATATCAAATGAATGGAGAATTTGGTCTTTGCGATAAGTAATTTTTTTTTAAAACGATAGTTTCATACAAAACGGAAATCAGAGCAATCACAAATACCGCAAAAAACGTGGACTTAACATTAAATGTGTTTATTGTTATTTTGCTTAGGAGCCATTCGTTTTTTTGGTAAAGCACGAACCCTGTGGGCACCGAATCTATTAATTTATGGACATATTTATCTGTAATTTCATCCCAATTGTCACAGAGAGTTGCAAACAAAGGGAGCAAAGTCGCTTATTTTCTTCAGCTGTTGTTTCATGGGCTTCACATACCTGTAGGATTCATTTCGGAGATATTTCATGGTGACCACTCCAGCGTTTATATGATTTGGTTTTCCAAGAATTGTCTAGTGGCATTGACCTTGTGAGAAAGTGTTTATCATGCATGGAGATGTCTCCTCGAATGACATCTTTACGAAATAAGGTTAAGACATGACGTTGCAGCACTTGCAAGGTGTAGTCCACTAAACAAAGCCATCCTGTGATTTCACGAGGGCGGTTTTGTTTGTTCCACCCCAGACCACCCAGAACAATGGCCGTTCCTTGGCCTCTGTTCTTTACTGACAGATGATTATGTCCAAGTACTAATGACCCCATTTAATGTTAAATCCAGGCCTTGCGTGCTATTTGTGACTGCTTTGTTTTTCTATCGATTAAAAAAAAATCACAAGAAGATGTTGTTCATTGCAGAGACAACAGTATTTTCTTTTCATTTGATATGCTATACATGCGAAGACAATTTTTCTCTTCTTTGATTGTTCTCAATTTTATCAAGCCTGATTTTTATGAAGGTCAGTTTTGAGTGACCATATCTCGGGCGTCTCATAACCACAGATGATGCAGAATTTATTTAGCTTTAAATTGGCATGCTGCATGAGTTGGTAATGCAAGGCTGTTAACATGATTATTCAAGTTTCGTTGGGACGCTACTGTATAATAATAATAATAATAATAATAATAATAATAATAATAATAATAATAATAATAGTAATGATGATAATAATAATGATACTACTACTACTACTACTACTACTACTACTACTACTACTACTACTACTACTACTACTACTACTACTACTACTACTACTACTACTACTACTACTGCTACTACTACTACTACTATTATAATATATATAATATAAATAATTTATGTATATATATATAGTATACATATATAAATTGGCCTATATATAGTATATAAAAATATATACTGTATGTATTATTTTATTATGTAATTTGTATATATATATAATATATATACTGAAAGTTCGTCACTTTTGTCGCCTAAAACTTCCAAACTACTTGACTTTCGAATTTGATAAATATAAGGGTGCACAGTTATATTAAGGAGTCTGAAGTCGCTATAGTTTAATTTTCAGTTTTTCATTAGTTTCGTTTAGATCTAACCATAGGAAAGTCTGTCTTCTAAACCGTCATTGTAAACAAGTGAGGCTTCCGTTCACAAGCAGTGCTCGCTTTCTGTTTCTACTGCGACTTGACAATCGATTCTTTTGAGTCCCAGCTAGCTACATCCGAAGAGGATACATCAAAGAAATCGCATGGAGACCGAACCATGATTCCGAATAAAACGGTATTAAATCAAACTCTTGAAAACATGTGCTTGAGCAGCACATCTGATTTGGACATAATTGACGACAGTGATGTATATATTATATATATATATATATATATATATATATTTGCCTGCTTCAAGCGTTCCACCCCATGAGATGAAGGAAAACGAAGCGCGCTTTCAGAATTAAAGTTGGGATATTTTATATGGAAAATTGGACCTGGTACATAGGAAACAAGAGGTGAGAGATGGGACCTTCCAGAAGGTGGGATTCGAAAGTTGGGACTGGTCATAATATGTGTACAATAATGACTATTGCACCGGGTCAGCCTGTGAACCGATTAGAGAGAAAATGACAGCAAACAACAATTCTTATTAATATAACAAACACACACACACACACACACACATCTCTCTCTCTCTCTCTCTCTTTCTTTCTTTCTTTCTTCCACTCCTTTTCTCTCTCTCTCTCTCTCTCTCTCTCTCTCTCTCTCTCTCTCTCTCTCTCTCTCTCTCTCTCTGAGTCTCTCCCTCTTTCTCTCCCCACCCTTCTCTCTCTCGCTCCCCCTTCTCTCTTTCTTTCTTCATCTCTTTCTCTCTCTCTCTCTCTCTCTGTCTGTCTCTCCCTCTCTGTCTGTCTGTCTGTCTGTCTGTCTGTCTGTGTGTGTGTGTGTCTCTCTCTCTCGCTCCCTCCCTCTCTCTATCTCTCTCTCTCTCACACACACACACACACACACACACACACACACACACACACACACACACACACACACACACACACTGCGCGCAGACAAAATTGCACGCTTTCAACTCAAGAGCAGTGGAACGTTTGTTAACTCTAGTAACACGGTCGTCACGCGCTAACATGTCTCGCGCGGACGCGAGATAGGGCAATTGAAACGTCTTGGTAGTAGAGAATCTTTGATCTAATCATATCTAATATGGTCAAAAAATGTGCAGTTCTGATAGTGCGAGGCTTTGATAGTTTTAGCAAAGCGCGCTGCTCTGATTGCTTCCCGTCCTGATAAGGAGGGTGAAGAAGGTCGCCTTCAACAATTCGTTGCCTTAAAAAGACAAAGTTCGAACAGACATTTTGGGCTGTTTTCACTTACCAAGATCATGGGGTCAGAAACCAAATTAAATGTTCTATCTGTTCTACCGAAATCGTAACATTATTCGGAGACGTTATCAAGATATATTCAAAGAATTGCATTCGAAAAAGCTTGGACATAACGTGAAACTCAAAATTTGTATCCTCTTATTTCGCAAAACTAGGTACTGAGCAGAAAGAACTTTGTATTTCTAGGAAGCGAACGATCTAAATTGGAGGTGCAAAATACAAGTCACGATCATTTTCAGTGTTTTACTCGTTGTGCATTTCCTTCAAAAGTGATGGTGGATGGTTGGCTGGTGCTCGGGCGTCGTTTGCCCCTTTTTTTCCTATCAAACATTTCGTCCTTATCTCTTCTCCTGGTTTTTTGTGCGTGTTACTCTCTTGTAACACCTATAATCTTCGGCACGTAATGATCTAACTGTGTTGCAAGCGCCGTAAATCGCTTCCTAAAACAAAAAAGAAGTGAAGAACACTTACGATCTTTTTTAGTTAGTCTTTAACTCGGTTGCACATTTCCTGAAACTGGTGGTTTTATGTCCTTTTTGAACAGGTGGCACCAGAATTGATGTTACACAAGCTGCTTTGTGGGTTAACCCCGCACGCTAAGTATAATTTCAGTGTCTATGCTTTGTCGAGGCCGTATGGATCGTTATCTGCGGAAGAATTTGGATTGAAGAGTGGAGCCAACTACGTCGTAGGACAGGCTGCAGAGGGCGGTGAGTCACGTGACATGTCGCAATCCCGGAATAACAGGGTTCTAATTCAAATTATTTTACGTTTGAGGTACCAGTGTTTATGGTCTCTCTCTGCAGTTCCCCTATTTTTATGTTTTCTGAGAAATCTGAGATGACTTTTAAAAAAATGTAGATCTAGGTGTTTTTACGTCCCCCGTATCGACACAGATAATTTAGGAGGCTATTTTCTGACCTTGCCTGTGTGAGCCAACCTGGGCTGAGAGAGAGACAACATCTCAGCGAAAAGACCAAGATACTCGATAAAAAATCTCCTTACTCGAAAATAGAACTCGGTTTCCCTGTGTGCGAAAGCGAAGCGCCAAACCGCCACACCGCAGACGCCGGTTTTTGAGATGTGTACCATGCTTTTTGCCCTTCATTTAAGGGAAATGGTATGTGCGAAATCTTTTACCTAAATATCTAAAAATAAGTGAGTAAAACTGAGACAACCCGTTATTCTTGGATTTCAAACTGTTAGGCTGGCGAGTCCGAACATAACAATGTGTGTAAAGTAACTGAAACAACTGTCTTGTAGACACTGAAATTATTGAAAATAGATAATAATACAGTGGAGTCCACTTTTAACGAGTCCTGAAATAACAAGAAGTCTGTTGTAAAGATACGATTCTAAAACCCCGTTTTTTAAATTCTTTATCTTCGTAGATAAAATATTGCTATAGTGCAATCAGGCAAACATGCGAGTCGGTTATAACGGAATATTGCTGCTGCTGTGCACAGCACATAGGCCAATTATACGTAAAACCTCGCCAGTTAAGAAACGTGTTGGTGATCTATCGAAGCAAAGAATAGGAGAGCTCACGTGTGCCAACAATGAAGACCAGAGCTAATGAATGGGGAGGGTGTGGCATGCGCACACAAGCAGAACACATCGAGTGATAGGCCAGCCTAGTTTAGATTATCTCAGCCTACAATGCCTCTCACTTCTCCGATGCGGGAATAGAGATTTCACAGTGTTGTGATGGATGGAGCGAATGTGTGACCTGGGCAGGGTGTGGTGTGTGCCCAGTGTGCGCAAGCAGACGGAACGCACCAAAGGAAGTGGTGGAGTGGGGGACAACACAGCAGGCCAGTTAGCCAATATCCCTTTTTTCCGATCGCCAACGCCACGTTAGAGGTTATAGTTGAACAAAATCACCATCAGGGGAGATAACAAAAAAAAATATAAACAGAACACCATACTCATAGATTATGCCTACTTTATTATTTCCCATGAACGTATTACTGGATCCTTTATAACGTGAATCCTGCTATAACGGATATGTCGCACCAGTTCCTTTCCTCTCGTTATAACAAGATTCCACTGTAATAGATTGCATTTGTATAGCACAACTTTGCGCTCAACAGTAAGCATCTGTGCGCTTTACAATCTATACTATTACCCCAGCAGACCTGGTAGCGTTCTGGAACAATCTCAACTTCCTGGGAAGCGTACATTGCAAGCTGCCATTTCACTGGCGCTGAAATATTCACACACTGTCAAGATAGTGAAGGATTCACTTACAGCATTCGAAACAGTCATGCTTTTATGTATACACCCTACGTTCAAGGGTCGCGTAGAAGGAGGAGGAGGGGGTGGATATAGTGGTGTTGGAGAATGAGAAGAAGAAAGTGGGGTAGTCGATAGATAAAACGATTGAGATGTATAGGTGAGGGGGGGATGCATGGAGGACAAAACAAGTCACTACATTTAAGAATTACCCAGTTTTCTCTGTCATCTTTGGCCCTTTTGAGTTACTAAGACCATGAGGTCAGAAACCAAATGTTCTATCTGCTCTTTCAAAACCGTAAGATTATTCGGAGTTGTTATCAAGATATTCAAAGAACTACATTCGAAAAAGTTTGACATATTATGAAACGCACACTTTTGTACGTCAAATATTCTCTGAACTTTGCAGATATGCTTTTGTAATTCTAAGGTAGGGAAGTTAAAGCTGAAAGGAGGATGGAGCAAGACAGAGAATTAGAAGAGAAGAGAGAGTCAATGATTATGTACCCAAAAGGTGAAAGATGTTTGGTCGAGACGAAAAATGAAGAAATTTTGAAATGTTTGAGAATAAAGGGAACGTTCGAAGTTTGGATACCCTTGGTACTTTGGTGAAGCGCTTACAAACTGATATTTGAAAGACTCGAACTGAAAGTGCTGCTTGACAGAGAATTGCCACTTTACCTTTAGATAGTACACTTTAGGACCTTTGCCTTGACACAGACAGCAAACTCGTGTGATGACAATGTCTTGAACACGTCCATCGACACAAGCGCTGTGGTATTCAATCTCCGCATGTGCAGCCACATTACCTAAGCAAGGGTAGAACTTCCAATCAAGTACACGTATACATTTTAATGTGGCTAATTCATCCTTTGTTTCTAATGCGACAGTCCACCGCCTGTGAAATGCGGATGCAATATCATGTTGAGGTTAAAGGTAAAAGTCACCTTCCGTTTACGTCAGTCAGTAGGCCTATCGAGTGTAATAACTATTATTTTAAGGGCATTTCGATTACTTATGATTTCGTCGTTTAAAGGATTTCAGGAAACTAAAATTTAAAAAAGTTGAACAAAAGATTCATCGTAAGGGGGTCTCTCCTCGTGGGTAGAGGTTACGGTGTTCGCCTCTCATTCAATAGGTTCCAGGTTCGAAACCTGACTGAAACAGAAAATTTTCTTCTCACCCCCTTTCCTACACTTTAACAATGTTCCGTCTTCTGCTTTTGTCACCACTTTCTGCCCCCATCCTCCACCCCTCCTTTGGGCTCCTGACTCTTTCTGCAGCCTTTCTACTTCCAAACTGAAAATGTTTAATGTGTTCCATGCGCTCATATGGCCTTATGCAGTTGTGGGCGCCGTAAAAACACCAACCAAAACAAACAACATTCATCGTTCGACGGTGCACCCGTATTAAAATTGTACCTAAATTATATACAGCATTTTTCTCTGTCTGCTAGAATGTTTTATCCCGCTCAGCCCGGGTTGACTCCAGCATGAAAGGTACAGCTCGCCTTCGAAATGATATACCTTGTGACGAAGTTGAATTTAAAAAAAAAGCAAACAAAAACAAACAAACTAACGAACAAGCAAACAAACAAACAAACTAACTAACCCCCCAAATAACCCGTTAACAAAGCCACCCCCCCCGAAAAAGTCCCAACAAATATATCGAAAAATAACCCCCCCCCCCCAACCCCCCCAACCCCCCCCCCCAAAAAAAAAAAAAACAACCCCAAAACAACAACAACAACAAAACAAAACAAAAACAACAACAATAAAACCAACCAACAACAAAGCAACAAAAAATCCACAAAAAATATTCGTAAAAAACTCACTTTAAAAGTCACCGGAATATGTGACAGTCTTTTCAAAATACTGTTTTCCAGTGCCTACAGCCGTTCCCCAGTTATGCTCAAGTTGTTTCCATATTGATGACTGTAAAGATAAGGAACTGTGCAACGTGACAATTTACTGGAAGGTGAGTGTTGAAAGGCCTTGTCTGATAACATTTAAATCTACTTTCTATTGTTGGATCCAGACATTAACTTTTTTTTCTGGGCTTTGAAAGCTTCCAGAATATATGGTGCTGACAAAGTGATTTACTTCCCACAATCCAATAATGGAGATATCGGCTGAAAATCGACACTGGGGTCAGATTTATAGATTTTCAATTGATGCCATTTTGTTCAAGTTTACGGTGTCTTTTACTATTCTATGCTCACAAATTGTACAAACTTCACCTATCAAGTTGATGTATCCATTTCCATAAGGCTGAAATCCGAGAAGTAACTCATTTTGTCAGCACACCTCACATATAATATCTGTCTTTGAGGCCAAGAGTAAAGGAACTATTGTGATTACATAACACCCCACTTCCCAAAAAGTAAATAACATTTTATAAAATAGATTTAAATAATTCAAATATAATTTAGAAATGAATGAAACCGAAATACGGTAGGAACAATATAAAAAAAGAAAATCAATAAACAACATCACCATCATCAACAAAAATAAAAAACAACAAAAACCACAAAAAAGCAAAAACCAAAACCAAAGACACATTAAGTCAAATCAAAATAAAAAGGCCCTAAGTTCTCAGTGATTACATACTCGTATACCACTATTAATGTCTGATTACATTTTCAGGTCGATATTTTTGCCCGGATTGTGCTTATAAAACTGCAACTTTCCTGGAACATCGATTTAGAATACTTTTGTGAGGCACATTTTTTTGGATATATATATACATATATATATATATATATATATATATATATATATTTATATATATATATATTGAATAAAGTAAACCTCGTTTTCTTCACGTTAACGATGTTGTTCTGTCCCTCATTGTTTCCTGTTGTTAAAATGTCATCCCACGTGGCTGGGAGAGATACATAAATCACTGCCCTACTATTAATATTAAGAAAGTTAATGAAGCTGATCAAAATAAATGATTTTGCAGATTTCTTGCCCAATATTTTTTCTTGCTGGAATATTGAAAGCAAACTTGGATTTTGTTTTGCGGGGAGGGTGAAGGGAACCCATGCTTATTATATTTTCATAATGGGATTTCGACTTTATTTTCAAAGTGAAATCTTTCGAAACGACATGACTATTACGTCTATTTTCTCCTGTCAGGACTTGCCGGCGCAACAGAAGCTAGGACAAATCATCTTCTACAATTTGACTGCCACAACAACAACGGGATGGTTTCTGTCTGTACCAAGACGAGAGGCTCCTCACTCCATTTTGACATCAGCGAGCCTGCGGATAGGCCCTGGGAACAGTGAGGAAAATCTAACGATTACCTTGACCCTGGGCACCAAACAGGGATTTTCCTCCGACTCTGCCTCAGTACTCATACCGGCTGCTCGTACAAGTAAACCAAACATCTGTTGTAGATTGTGCATGAGGATGGCATTTTCATTAATTAATTTATTGATTAATTAATTAATTTGTTCATTCATTCATTCGTTCATTCATTCATTCATGCATTCATTCATTCATTCATTAATTCCCACATTTGTCTATTTTTTATTTACTTTTTATTTATTTATTTATTTATTTATTTATTTATTTATTTATTTATTTATTTATTTATTTATTAAAACTTTATTTTCATGTGTTATCCATTTAAACATTTATAGTGCGGTCAAAAATTTGAGGCGCAGCCTATTCTCAAATATCACTTTAATGGGTGAATAAATGTCACCCATACTTTGCACAGCAGTCTGTATCAAATTAGTCTTAACTTAATCATAAATTTCCATAACAATTGAGGTTTAAAAACTTTTCGTCATAATATGTGTATAAAATGCTATTAATCTCCATCACGTGGAAAATGGGATTATTCACAGCACTTTCCGCTTCTCACACACATTTACCTACGCATATGACCTACGTCACAGCTCACTTATGACACATTTTAGTGGAAGAACTTGTTACCCAAAATTAAATTTATAGTAAACACATTTTTGCACTAAATGTTCACAAAACGTGTGTTCGATAAGTATAATGTCGCGAATAGAAAAACAAAATGATGGACTTGCTTTTAAAAGCAATATTGTCAGAGCTGTAAACCTTTTAAAATCTGTAGAAACCACCCGCTGGTTTTTTTTAGTAAGTAGATCTAGTTATTACAGGAATTTTCTAGAATACAGCTAACACAAGTGTTTACAAATATATTGATATGTTGAGACAAAATGATGCATGTCATTGTGCAAAACATGGAGACTTTATGTTCGATAGCTGAGAAGATAAATATTTCACAATAAGTTGCGCCATGAATTTTAAACCCCTTTATATAATTGCTTTCTTGTTTGTTTATTTGTTTGGTGCGTGCTTGTACACATAGCTATGCGCGCTCATATGACCTTATGCTGTTGCGAGCGCCGTAAAACACTTACAAAAAATACAAACAAACAAAAAAACCCAACACATAGCTGTTCGTTATCTTATCAGTTTAATTAGTCTCTTGCTTCCTGAAATGATGAGACGAATCACTTCATATATACGTGTATAAATAGCTGTATTATAGTCAAACATGTTGTACCGTCCACCTTTAGGATGGGCATGACGTTAGCAGTACAGCGGGGGCTGGCGGTAAAACGGGATAGCACCGATTGCCATCTTGACTAGTGGTAGACTTGTGGAGACTGGGCCTAGAGAGACAATCTGTGGCCAGTCTTGTCTCATCTAGATCTCTCTTGCGCGACTACCTTGTGCAGACAATCAACTAATTACATTTACTGAAAGTTACGTTAACTTAAATTGAAACGTTTTACTCGATCAGAAGCTAAGCTATATTGTGGCGTCCAAAAGAAACTTTAAAATGTGATCACTCAACCGTCGTCTTAAAGTCTTGCACTACTCACTCATGCAGAATATCAGTTAGAAGCTAAAGAAATTCTGCATCATCTGACACATTACTATTTCATCTGTGTTGAGAGACAGACGCCCGAGACATGGCCACTCAAAATTGACCTTAAAGAATCAGGCTTGGCAAAATTGTGCGACATATATATATATATTTTAAAAATGTCTTTGCGCGTGTATTGAAGAACATTAATAATATTGATAGAATGGGCATACGTTGCATTTCCAACAAATGGAGATTTTGGTCTCTGCAATTAACAGTATGTTATTATGATAGGTTCAAACGAAACGGAAAAGAGAGCAATCGCAAACACTACGCAAAACTTGGACTGAACATTAAATATTTGTGCTCATTGTTATTTTGTTTAGAGCCACTGGTTTTGCGTAGAGCATGAACCCTTTTGGCATCGACTCTATTAAATGTTGGACCAAATCATATACTGTCACTTCATCCCAGATATCACAGAGAGATGCAAACAAAGGGTCTGAATCGGGAGCAAAGTCGCTTTCCCTCAGCTGCTATTTCATGGGACTTCATATGCACCATGTAGGATTCATACCTATCAGGCTATATACTGGTGACTACTCAAAGGTTGATATGATTTGGTTTTCCAAGAATTGACCTGGGGCATTGGCCCTGTGAGAAAGGGCTTTGCTATGCATGGAGATGTCTACTTGAGTGACACCATGACGAAAGTACAGGTAAGACATGACGTTCCAGCACTTGCACGATGTAGTCATCTAAACCACGTCATATGGTGATTCTCACGAGCGCGGTTTGTTCATTCCACCCCAGACCACCCAGAATACCGTGACAGTTTCGTGGCCTCTGTTTCTCAGTGACCATATCTTTCGACGTCTCTTAACATAGATGAAATATTACTGCGTCAGATGATGCACAGTTTATTTATCTTTAATGTCCAAAATCTAATTAACACTTTCCAAATGCAAAAAAGGTTTCGTGCTATACGAAACCAATAGCTCCTAAACAAAAGCAAAATTACACTGATAAGCACATGTAATGTTAAGTCCACGTTCTACGTGTTATTTGTGACTGCTCTTTTTCCAATCTGTTTTGAAAATATCGCCAGAGGATGCTTTTGATTAAAAAGAAAATATTACTCTCTTTTCATTTGATATTCAATTCATGTCTATTCCCCAAATGTTGAGGCACCTCAATATACGCACGAACACACTTTTACAGTTCTTTGATTTCGCGCAATTTTGACAAGCCTGATTTTTTAAGGTCAATTTTAAGTGACCATATCTTGGACGTCTCTTAACATAGATGAAATATTACTACGTCATATTATGCACAGTTTATTTAGCTTTAAATTGGTACGCTGCATGAGTAAGTAGTGCAAGGCTATAACTGACACGATGATTGGGTGACAGCATTTACAAGTTTCTTTTGGACGTCACTGTATAAAAGCCTCATACGCGTCCGTCAGACTTTTGATCATCAGAATGATATCAGCTGGTGTCGCCAGATATATTGCCTACCGGCCGAGGTGGCGCAGCTCTTTTGACGGTTCTGTTGGCAACTTAAAAATTTCAATCCAAATCGTTTTCAATATTGGACAAAGCCTGGGAATAATAGCATTTTCGTAATCAGCGCAAGTCAGAAGCGAAACAGTGACACACGCGAGAGATAGGTCGAAGAAGTAAAGACGTTTGTAGAAAAGAGATAGTCAAGCAGCCGAGTGGGTGTTGTGCGCCGTGTGTCGTGTATATCTCAAGGTGGCCATTTTGCTGACGGTACAGCGGGCAAGGAATCAGACAGTTGGTGGATGGTGGATGGCGGTATAAAAGTGCAAGCACTATGTTTGTATAGTCGTTCCTTTTCCTACTTGAGCAAAACCTAGTGGTAAGCAGAGCTGGCGGTATAACAGGAGGACGGGGTGGGGGTCGGTACATGTATATATATGTTAAAAATGTTAAAGAGTATTATATATACATATATG